CATTCTGCCTTTTATCAGCTGTTCAGGCTGGTGGTGATTTTGTAATGGTATGGGGGATATTTTCTTAGCTCTAGCAAGGTGTACCTAACAAAGTGGCCGGTGAGTGTATACATCAGTGCCTGCATCACTGCAGGAGGAGATTTCTGATCCGCAGCAGCAAAAAAAAGAATGTATCAATAATGCAATCAGCTGCAGCACTGATCTGTTTATTTTGTTAGCAGCAGGGTGCTGCTCTTAGAATACACATGTCAGTGCCTGCAGCACTGCAAAAGGAGATTTCTCATCTGCAGTTAAAAAAAATGTGTATGCCCAAGCATGAGGGGCCTGGGTTGGTCAGTGGGCTCATTGCTCCTATGCTTTGGCATATAATTTTTTCACTTTTTTTCTGGTAGAGATTTCTTCATCCACATTGATCGATGTGAAAGGAGGAATCTGTTCTTTTTTTTGTTCAGGCCACAGGCTGTCAGAAAAGGCTTGGTGTTCAAGTGGTTAGAAGAGTGGGTGATGTGTGGCAGAAGCTTCTAATGTTGGGCATAAAATGCCAGGACAGTTCAAACACCCCTGAATGATCCCTTTTTGTAAACTAGACACCACAAAGTATTTGCTGAGAGGCATGTTGAGTGCATGGAAGTTTTTTTTTTTGCCACCAGTTTTTGAAAAATGGCAAAAAAAATATTTTTTTTACAAAAAGATGTCACTTTAATGAGACGTTTCTCATACATGCCATGGGTATATGTGGAATTACATACCAAAACACATTCTGCAACTTCTCTAGAGTGTGGGGATACCACATGTGAGAGATGTTTTGGCAGTCTAGCCCCATACAGGAGTCCAAAATTCAATGACCACCTTCAGGCTTTCAAAGGGCATTATTTCTTCATATCACTTCCTGACTACCTATCACAGTTTCAGAGACCCTGAAATGCCAGGATAGTGACATTTTTGTTAAGGGACATGGCAAGTATTTGCAGATCTCATTTGTTGCCACAAGTGTTTGGAAAATAAGAAAGAAAACAATTTTTTTTTCACTTTTCAAAACCTTGTGACAAAAAATGAGATCTTCAAATACTCACCACGCCTTTTATCAAATACCTTGGAGTATTTACTTTCCAAAAATGGGTCATTTGTGGGGGTGTTTGTACTATCCTGGCATTTCAGGACCTCCGAAACTGTGACAGGTAATGAAGAAGCGACATGAGGAAATACGCCCTTTGAAAGCCTGAAGGTTTAATTCCAATGAAAAAAAATTCTGCAGAAGGAGGTGATGTTAGTCATCAGTACACTATGCTAGTCAGAGTCAAGCTTTGCCTTCTTATATATGTTAGGGACTCCACTGTTGTTTACATTAACCGCATCCCGACTGCCCCTATAGCCGAAGTACTGCTACAGGGCAGCAGGGATGTGCAAAATCACATATATATATATATATATATATATATATAGGTTAATGCACTCCCTATCTGCACTGCTATTGGCTCCTCGGCATGTCAATCACCAGGTCCCGGCCGCTGATTCTCGGCCGGGACTCAGTGATCGTCTGCATAGCTGACAGGGGAGAGGTCTGTATGTAAACAACACAGATCTCTCCTGTCAGCAAGTAACAGACTGCTTTGTATAGTAAAACACACACAGAACACTGTTAACCCTTTGATCGCCCCAGATGTTAACCCCTTCCTGCCCAGTGTCATTAGTATGGTGACAGTGCTTTTTATTAGCACTGATCACTGTATTGGTGTCACTGGGGATGTCAGTGGCAGTTAGTCAGTTCCCACCCAGTGTCAGAATACCCGCCGTAGTCCCACAATAAGTTGCTGATCATGACCGTTACTAGTAAAAAAAAATAACTAAAAATTCCAGTAACTATACCACCATTTGTAGATACTATAACTTTCATGTAAACCAATTTACATGTATTGGGATTTTTTATAGCAAAGACGTAGCAGAATACATTTTGGCCTAAATTTATGAAGAAAATTTTATTTTTAAACATTTTTTTACTGGATATGTTTTATAGAAAAAAGTCAGAAATTTAGTTTTTTTTTTTAAATTGTCTGTCTTTTTTTGTTTATAGCGCAAAAAATAAAAAATGCACAGGTGATCAAATACCACCGAAAGAAAGTTCTATTTGTAAAAAAGGACATACAGTACATTTCATTTATGTACAGCGTTGCATGACCGCGCAATTGTCAGTTAAAGTAATACAGCACTGTATCACAAAAAATGGCCTGGTCAGAAAGGGGGGAGGTAAATCCTCTGGAGGGCAAGTGGTTAATGCACTGAAACAGTGAACAGTAGATAAATATTTGCTCTTAAGTATGATCACTGTCGGGCAGCACAGTGGCTTAGTGGTTAGCACTTCTGCCTTGCAATAATTGAGTGATGGGTTCAATTCTCAACCATGGTGCCTCCTGCATGGACGAATCAGTATAATGATGCAGCGCTATATCATAAATCTACTGAGTGGATGTGAGAAAAACCAAATACCTGTACACATAAAGCAACATACATAGCAATAACAATGAAGTAGATCCTGTTTTGTGTTAGATCTGACCGGATCTTTTAGGTGACTTACAAGTGGTTAGCGGTGCAAATAAGAGGTTCAGTGGTGAACCTTAGCAAGTGATATTACCTGTCCCCCATCAGGGGATCAAACCATTCAAGGTATAAGTGAAAAGAATATAAAACACAGTGAGTCCCTATACAGGGATAAAGGCTACCACATATAAGTGATCAGTGACCCGTATCAATTATTAGCCCATCAATATAAACAAAAGTCCATAATGAGCTAACATAATAATGCATGACGAAAAGTAAACAATGATTTTCCAAGCGTGCTCCTGTGCTGGTGCAAGTGGTGAATGAGAATCCTAAATGGCAGGCATGCCTGCTCACCTTCCTGCTGTGACCCACAGGGGCCAAAACGCCTTTCGGATCACCCCGGATCCTGCACGCAATCTCCATGTAAGATAGGTTCCACAGCCCCTACTGGTCTCTCCTTCACTCTCTGTTACTCCTCCATACACAGGTATCGGTGTATATGCCCATATATGCACATCATGTTGGAATCATACAATGATAAAACAAAGATCCTCCATAGTGCAAGACTACATTTATTGTTAAATAAGGTAAAAACGCCAAGTAACAACTCACATTTATGCAGATAATAACAGGCTTTTCACACCACTGTGTGTGTACTGGATGCACTCGGGTGTACTAAGATGGCACTTACCTGAAGTGCATCACCACGCCGCGTCTATGCATTACACCACGCCCAAGTAAAATAATTGCTAAGAGAATTCATGGAAAAAGTCGCTTACGAGTCGCTTACGAGTGACAGTCCATGCAATCGCCAAGGGTCAGATACGACTGAATGGATAGATAGATGATCATTGTTGTGATCAATTTTTGAAATATATCTAATTACCAGGGGCGGACTGACCATTTGGAAACTCGGGCACTGCCCAAGGGCCCGAGATTAGTAGGGGGCCCCATGAGATGCCCCTGGTACCTTTTTCATAGGCTTTTTTGAATTTGAGCAAGGACACAGGGGCCCCATGATCCGCTATTGCCCGGGGGCCCCATGAGTTGTCAGTCCGCCCCTGCTAATTACCATTTATTTGACTCTAAGGAATTGAAAGCCTCTTATAATTTGCCCTAACTGTGATTATTGCTTTTCACTTTTATAAGCTACTTTTGGATACACTTTTATACCGCGCAATTGTCAGTTAAAGTAACGCAACGCCATATCACATAAATGGCCTGGTCAGGAAGGGGGGTAAATCCTCTGGAGGGCAGGTGGTTAAAAAAACATTAAAAGTTTATCTCCATTTCCCCTCTCTGCCTGTCTCCAGCACCGCACCCCGGGACTAGCAGGAAGGAACGACCTTTCAGTGTGACGAGAACTGATTGGGTGCTCATCAGGAAAGGGGAGTGTCGAGCACTCTTAACGCTCAGGTCTCAGCGTATCCGGTGAGCGAGTAAATAAGGTGCCGACCCCAATGAGAGAAAAAAAAAAGAAGTTATTCCCTCAGGTTAAAATAACTAAACAACTATTAAAGCTTTTTCACACTTTTCTGGGTAAACCCATTTTTTAAATTTATTTTCAGCATCTGAAATGATTAAAGCGTGATATATTTTTCTGCCACTAGAGGGCTTCTCTATGCTTTTGATGTTACTCTGCATACATACAAATGTTATTAGTGCTTCAGTCATTTGTAAAATCATATTCACTCAACTCTCTATGGGGGTGGGGAGAGGAACTTCAGTTTGTCATGCAGGAAGACAAGTTTGTCTTCATTTTGTTTAAAACAAAAATTCTTGTGTACCTGCTTGAGTAATGGAACTTACAGAAAATTTGTTGATGAAAGGAATCTTGCAGTCCGAGTTAACCACAAACAGATGTTTCAAAACGCTGGACTTACATAGGAAATGGTGGATCTCAGATAGAACTCAGATTCCTTTAAGGGGGAAGGTAAAATAAGGCCTTGTTCATTGCTTTTGCTTTAGTAGCTTGTTTTGTATTTTGTACAGAGTATGAAGGCAACTCAACAAAAGAATGTTAAAGTAGTACTAAATCCTCACATTTTTTTCTTAGAATTTGACCTATATAAGCCAAGCAAACAGAGGACATGAAAATGTTTGATTAAAGGTTAAAGTGGAGTTCCACCTGAAAAAAAAAAAAAAAAAGGCGGTAGCAGCTACAAAAACTGTAGCTGCTGACTCTTAAAATATAGACACTAACCTGTCCCTCGATCCGGCGGTGTCCTCACCACGGCTGGTTTCACTGGCCGTCTTCTCTCTCTGGTGCCGGCATCTTCAGTGTGGGCACCCGGCTGTGACAGCTTGCGGCTTCTTAGCTGGGTACCCACTGCGCATGCGAGAGAAGCGCTGCACTTTGTGAATGGCCCCATAGTCTTCTGGGACCTGCCACGTGTCTCAGAAGACTACAGGGAGGGAGGACAACTTCCTCTTCCGATCGCCTAGGGGATTGCAGTGGAAGTGGGAGCGGATACCTGTCAAATTTGGGTATCCGCTCCCCCCCCAAAGTTGCCAATTCTTAATGGGGAGCGGGGGACAAAGCATTAAAGCAGAACTTCCCCTTTTGGGTGGAACTCCGCTTTAATGTCTTCAGTGGCTTTTTAAATAAACAATATACTGTAGTTTGTGCAATATTTGTGTGAGGGTTTTCGGTCCCCCCCTCCTTGAGCTACCTTGACTCCCTTTTCATGCTCTCCCCTTTTATGGTTTCCTTCAGTCCTCCCCTTTCATACACACTTTCAGTAACCCCTCCCCCCTGTCTCCCCAAAGGTGCCAATCCTTAATGGGGAGCGGGGAACAAAAGGCTTAAAGCAGAACTTCCCCTTTTGGGTGGAGCTCCACTTTAATGCAGAAATACTTACAAGCTGTTTGGTTTGAGCACACAGTTTCTTCCCCAAACGTCTGGTCAATGAGCACGCCCCTTTGGTCCACCTTTCCTGAATCCTTTCCTATTTTATTAGTCAGTAAGATTGCATTCACACTTGAGCTAGCATGTTATTTTTAGTTAATGGAAAACAAGTTACTGGGGAGATACACGTGGTTTTCAGGTGCTCCCCTTGAAGTCTATTGAGGCCAACAACGCTCAAAGCTTTTAGCTCAAAAGAAGCTCATGGACCTTTTAGTGTTACAAACTTTAATCAACACTACACTCAGGTGTGAATAGGCACAAATGTGAACCATGGGAATTTAGACGCTGAGCATTTTCGTGCATTTAGCTGGGGGACTAAGGGCCTTCCATCACCAAAAGAGACCAACAATGAGGCTTGGGACTGTCAAGCTTCCTTGCACATTAATCCAGCACCAGGTTTTGCCTCCTGTCTGAGTTGCTCGGGTTCCTGCCTATCTGCCCTGAACCTAGGTATTATTAAGCCTTTGCACCAGTGTGTTAGTGTTCAAGCAACATTTCTTCACGTAGGAGCCGGACCCCTCTGATTCCTGTGGTGTTTGCCACCATTTGAGTACTCTCATATTCTGTGTGTCGTTTGATCCTGTCTTTGTTCTCAGTGTTTTCCCTCTGGCTGTGCAGTTATATTCCCTTTGGTTTTTGTCCATGGATTCCTTCATCCTCTGTTGTCTGTGTCCTCCGCAGCATTTTTTCTTGTTTGTTTGCCTGCAGTCTATTCCAGCTTGCTGCAGTAGGTTGCCTTGCTTCCTAGTATCCTATGCGTACCCCTTGTCCTTCCAGCATTCTACTTGATTGCACTGTGCCCACACAGGTGTGTTAGAGAGCCCCAACCTGAGGGGCTGCCATGCAGCGCATCATCCATACTTCTAGCAAATCTGGTGAAGACCGGGTGTCTCCTTAGATCATGCGACTCTGACATACCACTGTTTGCATGCAGTCACGCTGCTCGTGCATCCTTGAGGACAGGGACCTGGGTTCACCTGTTTAGTTTTTGCCACTGGCCCGCTAGTTTTTGAGTTACAGTCACAGGTGGTCTTACCCCCTGAACGTGACAGGGACCCAGGAGGTAGCAGGCCAAAATGCAAGCGACTGGGTTGTTTTTGATATTTGCATCATAAGGTTGTTCCAGATTTCAGCAGTCTCAGTGTAAAGGGTCCCCACCCACATTTGAGAAATGCCCCATAAGCTTCTCTAATGCCCCAATAAAATGTCTGGTCCCCTGGCAACATAGCTTAATAAAAACCGCCAGCCGCACTAATATAAATGTTAATAGGGCCTGGACTGTCACTATGGCCGGCCAAAAAATTTGTATTATTGCGGCCAGCTGGTCCCATTAAGTGCAGGGTTCACTTGCAAAGCGGACCCATGGCCCTTGCACTCATTCCTCCTTCCTCTGTGGCAGCGCTGGGAGGAGGTGACATATAACTACACTTCCTTCCAGCCAGCCGCTTAGAAGGGAAGAAAAGCATCACTGGATGTCAGGGAATGACTCTGCTAGGTAGTTTTTCTGGTTGTGGCTGGCTGATGGAGCGCGCATACAGGGGAGGACTGACAACTCATGGGACCCCCGAGCAATAGGGGATCATGGGGCCCCTGTGTCCTTGCCCAAACTCAAAAAAGCCTATGAAAAAGGTACCAGAGGCATCTCATGGGGCCCCCTACTGACCCCGGACCCTCGGGCAGTGCCTGAGTTTCCAAATGGTCAGTCTGCCCCTGCACACATTTTGAAAGGAGTGAAAGAAAACAGGAAAGCGATGGTGATGGGGGGGACTGAAAGTGTGTATGAAAGGGGAGGACTGGAGGAAACCATGAAAAGGGAGCCAAGGTGGCTCAAAGTGGGGGGGGGGGGGGGGGGGGGTACCGAAAACCCTTACACAAATATTGCCCAAACTATATTTTTTATTTAAAAAGCCACTAAAGACATTAAAGCGGAGTTCCACCCAAAAGGGGAAATTCCACTTTAATGCTTTCTTCCCCGTTCCCCATTAAGAATTGGCACCTTTGAGGAGGGGGCAGATACCCGAATTTGAAAGGTACCCACTCCCACTTCCGCTGCGATCGCCTAGGCGATCGGAAGCGGAAGCTGTCCTCCCCCCTCCCTCCAAGTAGTCTTCTGGAATACGTGACAGGTCCCGGAGGACTACGGGACCATTCACAAAGCGCAACGCTTCTTGCGCAGCCAAAGCTGTCACAGCCGGGTGCCCACACTAAAGATGCCGGCACCAGGGAGAGAAGACGGCCCATGAATCCAGTGGTGTTGAGAATACCGCTGGACCGAGAGGCACAGGTAAGTGTCTATATTTTAAAAGTCAGCAGCTACAGTTTTTTGTAGCTGCTGACTTTTTTTTTTTTTTTCAGCTGGAACGCCACTTTAGTACTCTTAACTTAGTGTGCCTTTGAAAGAGTGAGAAGTAGAAGAGGCATTGCTCAGCTTAATGAGCAATTAGTGTGAGGTACAGTTGTGGCCAAAATTATTCAACCCCCAATGCTGTAAAGGGGTTTAGGGACTATAGTGTACATTTGGAATTGTATTCAGAATCAAATCCTACAAGGACGTTGTAACTACCCAAATGCAACTAAAATGACATCAATTGTTTATGTAATACAGTAGTAAATGGTTCTTATGTGGTTTCTTCATTGCCACAATTATTCAACCCCTTAAAGACTACCACTCTGAAGAACAGAGGTTCATACAGGTGCTTTCCATCAGGTATTGAAAACACCTGTGGATGTCACCGAGCAGCAATCAAGCATAATAAGCACCAATTAGGCAGCTTTAAAATGACTGTGATACTCAGCTCCTTCTAGACATTTACTGGTGTGGTTACAAACATGGTGAAGGCAAGAGAATGGTCCAGGAAGACAAGAGAAGAGGTGATTTCTCTTCACAGGAAGGGCAATGGCTATAAGAAGATTGCAAAGATGTTAAACATACCAGAGAGACACCTTAGGAAGCATCATTCGCAAATTTAAGGCAAGGGCACTGTTGAAACGCTACCTGGTCGTGGCAGAAAGAAGATGCTGACTTCGACTGCTGTGCGCTACCTGAAGCGTAGAGTGGAGAGAGAGTCCCCGTGTGACTGCTGAGGAACTGAGAAAAGATTTGTCAGATGTGGGTACAGAAGTTTCAGCCCAGACAATAAGACGCACACTGCGTAATGAAGGCCTCCGTGCCAGAACTCCCAGGCGTACCCCCTTGCTGTCTCCAAAGAATAAGAAGAGTCGACTGCAGTATGCCAAAAGCCATGTGGACAAACCACAAAAGTTGTGGGATAGTGTTCTGTGGACTGATGAAACAAAATTAGAACTGTTTGGGCCCATGGATCAACGCTATGTTTGGAGGAGGAAGAAAACAAGGCCTATGATGAAAAGAACACCTTGCCTACTGTGAAGCATGGTGGAGGGTCAATCATGCTTTGGGGGCTGTTTTGCTTCTGCAGGTACAGGGAAGCTTCAGCGTGTGCAAGGTACCATGAATTCTCTTCAGTACCAGGAGATATTGGATGGAAACGTGATGCAGTCCGTCACACACCTGAGGCTTGGGAGACGTTGGACCTTTCAACAGGACAATGATCCCAAGCATACCTCCAAGTCCACTAGAGCATGGTTGCAGAGGAAAGGCTGGAACATTTTGGAGTGGCCATCGCAGTCACCAGACTTAAATCCGATTGAGAACCTCTGGTGGGACTTAAAGAAAGCAGTTGCAGTGCGCAAGCCTAAGAATGTGACTGAACTGGAGGCCTTTGCCCATGAAGAATGGGCGAAGATACCCGTAGATCGCTGCAAGACACTTGTGTCAAGCTATGCTTCACGTTTAAAAGCTGTTATAACTGTAAAAGGATGCTGTACTAAGTACTAAGATTGAATGTCACTTGGGGGTTGAAATAAAACTGATAATGCTGTGAGCACAGAAAAGACATTTGTGGTTATTTCATTATAACTGTTATGTTTTTATTTGTCTGACCTACAAGTGCCTCTTTAATGTAAATGTAAGCAAGATGACTGAATGATCAAAAGCAATGTCAAACTGGCCAAAACACTCAATTTCAGTGGGGGTTGAATAATTTTGGCCACAACTGTAGAGGGGACATTGCCTAAAAATAGGAGATATTGGTGGAGTTTGTTATTTTATGTATTCTTAAAATAATTACTTATTTTAAAAGTCTAAAACAGTGATTTATTATGTAAAAATATGTACATTGTGGAATACTGCACAAGTTGTTTTGTGGAATAAATTATAATGTTTCAGAAATTAAATTATTTTTGGGTTGCAACTTAAAGCAGAGCTCCACCCAAAAGGGGAAGTTCTGCTTTATGGACTGGTCTCCCACTCCCCGTTAAGGATTGGCACCTTGGGGGGGTGGGGGGGGGGGGGGTGCGGGTACCTGAAATTGACTTGTACCCACTCCCACTTCTGCTGCGATCGCCTAGGTGATTGGAAGCAGAAGTTGTCCTCCCACCTTCCTCCCCGTAGTCTTGACAGGTCCCAGAAGACTACAGGACCATTCAGAATGCTCAGTGCTACTCGTGCATGCGCAGTGGGCACCGTGCTATGAAGCCGCAAGCTGTCACAGCCGGGTGCCCACACTAAAGATGCCGGCACCAGGAACAAAGGACGGCTGGTGAAATGGTCTGCAGGGAGGACATCATGGGATCGAGGGACAGGTGAACTTCTGTTTTTTTAAAAGTCAGCAGCTACAGTTTTTGTAGCTGCTGACTTGTATTCTTTTTACAGTTTCACTTGAACTCCACTTTTATTTCACATATTCTTCACTTGAACTCCACTTTAAAGACCAAGGACAAATGTGGGTCCTGAGGTTCCACAGTTTGAGAATCACTTCTCCAAAAGATAACAGAAGTTATTTGTAGCCACCGCTGGATGTATCCTACTACCAGGGGTGGACTGACAACTCATGGGACCCCCAGGCAATAGGGGATCATGGGGCCCCTGTGTCCTTGCCCAAACTCAAAAAAGCCTATGAAAAAGGTACCAGGGGCATCTCATGGGGCCCCCTACTGACCCCAGACCCTCGGGCAGTGCCCGAGTTTCCAAATGGTCAGTCCGCCCCTGCTTAATACCTGTTTCCATCATTAAAAGTACTGTCTGTTATGTTTTTTGTTTACTCAGCCATTCACACAGTGTTTTAGCTGGACATTTATTGTTTGGTGAAATGTGCTATATATCTGATCATGAGGAGAGAGAGTGTAAACTAATGAAGCGTGGGCTTATAGGAGGCAAAAAGGGAGCTGTTCATAAGCCACTGGGAAATGAAGTAGCAGTGGAATTCATTACAGACAATGAAGTAAGAAGAAGGAGGCAGAATAGCAGCTGAACTTCAGGGATGAGGCAGAATGGCAATTGATGTAGTCCAGGGGAGTGAGGAGGAGCGGGTACCTGAAATTGACAGGTACCCGCTCCCACTTCCACTGCGATCACCTAGCCGATTGGAAGCGGAAGTTGTCTTCCCCCCTCCCTCCCTGTAGTCTTGACAGGTTCCAAAATACTACAGGACCATTCAGAGAGCACAGTGCTACTCGCGCATGCTCAGTGGGCACCAGGCTATGAGGTTGTAAGCTGTCACAGCCAGGTGCCCACACTGAAGATGCCAGCACCAGGAAAACAGGACTGCCGGTGAAATGGGCTGCAGGAAGGACACTGCGGGATCGGGGGACAGGTGAGTGTCTGATTTTTAAATGTCAGCAGCTACAGTTTTTGTAGCTGCTGACTTGTATTTTTTTACAGCTTCACTTGAACTCCACTTTAATAACCAAGGACAAATGTGGGTCCTGAGGTCCACAGGTGGAGAACAACTACTCCAAAAGATAGCAGAAGTTATTTGTAGCCACTGCTGGATGTATCCTACTACCTGTTTCCACCATTAAAAGTACTGTTTTTTATGTTTTTGGTTTACTCAGCCATTCACACAGTGTTTTTGCAGGACATTTATTGTTTGGTGAAATGTGCTATATATCTGATCGTGAGGCGAGAGAGTGTAAACGAATGAAGCGTGGGCTTATAGGAGGCAAAAAGGGAGCTGTTCATAAGCAACTGGGAAATGAAGCAGCAGTGGAATTCATTATAGACAATGAAGTAAGAAAGAGGAGGCAGAATAGCAGCTGGACTTGAGGGATGAGGCAGAATGGCAATTGGTGTGGTCCAGGCGGGGCCTTTCACAAGACAGGGGGTAACTAATCATGGCAGAATGTAAAGAGTAGATAGAAATGACAGCTGATTGGGATACAATAGGACTGCCAATGTAAGAGAACAGGAAGGAAAGTTCAAACTGGTGAAGAACCTAGTACAGAGAGAGAGCAGAAAGTAGATAATCAAAAACATGAGAATGAGAGAATAGGTAGACTCTGAGCTGACCAACTACAATGGAAGTAAAAAAGTCACAGAGGAGATGATCATGGATTGGAGGAAGAGAGAGACTGCAGTAGAACTGCACAGCGTAGAGAAAAGACTAAACATGATCTTGTTGTGGACCATCATGGAGCATAATTAAAATGGGCATAAGCATGGTTTGGGAGTAAAGGGAAAGATGCTTGTGCTTGGGGGGTGGTGGTAGAGCAGGATCTAATAGTGGATAATTCAAAGAGGAAGCAGAGCAGTAAATTACTGCTTCTGAGGAGTGACGGGGGGCGTCACTTCTCGCTTCTGGTTTAAAAATGAAACACATATGAGAAAGTGTGTGGCTTAAGAAAGAGGGTAAAATTTAATGAGAAATGCCTGGGCTTAGCATATGTAGGACTCTTGTGTTTTTATGGAATGTCATGTGATATTTAAAAAAATTATTCTAGGGGACAGTATGGATACCATTTTTGGAGAATTAAGCTAGAAGTGTGCTAGCGTCACTGGACCATAAATGCAGTGGAAAGACCCCTGCCACTGGACTGAACTGAACAACTATAAAAAATATAGGGGAGTAATGCTGAATAAGGCAGATGATACGAAGAGAAATTGGGGTGTAGTTGTGTCAATAGGTGTTGCATGATTGGGCTGTTGCATGCACATACAGTGGAGATAAAAAGTCTACACACCCCTGTTAAAATGTCAGGTTTCTGTGACGTAAAAAAAATGAGACAAAGATAAATCATTGCAGAACTTTTTCCACCTTTTATGCGACCTATAAACTGTACAACTCAATTGTAAAGAAACTGAAATTTTTTTGGGGGAAGTAAACATAAATAAACTAAAATAATGTGGTTGCATAAGTGTGCACACCCTCTTATAACTGGGGATGTAGCTGTGTTCAGAATTAAGCAATCACATTCAAAATCATGTTAAATAAGAATCAGTACACACCTGTCATCATGTAAAGTGCCTCTGATTAACGCCAAATAAAGTTACATTTGCTTAGTCGCATCCTACAGCAAAAGCCATGGTCCGCAGAGAGCTTCCAAAGCATCAGAGGGATCTCATTGTTAAAAAGTATCAGTCAGGAGAAGGGTACAAAAGAATTTCCAAGGCAATAGATATACCATGGAACACAGTGAAGACAGTCATCATCAAGTGGAGAAAATGTGGCACAACAATGATATTACCAAGAACTGGTCTTCCTTCCAAAACTGATGAAAAGACAAGAAGAAAACTGGTCTGGGAGGCTGCCAAGAGGCCTACAGCAACATTAAAGGAGCTGCAGGAATATCTGGCAAGTACTGGCTGTGTAGTACATGTGACAACAATCTCCGGTATTCCTCATATGTCTGGGCTATGGGGTAGAGTGGCAAGACGGAAACATCTAAGCTAAATCTAGGCTACATTTTGCAAAAACACACCTGAAGTCTCCTAAAAGCATGTGGGAAAATGTGTTATGGTCTGATGAAACCAATGATGAACATTTTGGCCATAATCCTTAAAGATATGTTTGGTACAAAAACAACACTGCACATCACCAAAAGAACACCATACCCACAGTGAAGCATGGTGGTGGCAGCATCATGCTTTGGGGCTTTTTTCTCCAGCTGGAACTGGGGCCTTAGTCAAGGTAGAGGGAATTATGAACAGTTCCAAACACCAGTCAATATTGGCACAAAGCCTTCAGGCTTCTGCTCGAAAGCTGAACATGAAGAGGAACTTCATCTTTAAGCATGACAACGATCCAAAGCATACATCCAAATCAACAAAGGAATGGCTTCACCAGAAGAAGATTAAAGTTTTGGAATGGTCCAGCCAGAGCCCAGACCTGAATCCGATCGAAAATCTGTGAGGTGATCTGAAGAGGGCTGTGCACAGGAGATGCTCTTGCAATCTGACAGATTTGGAGTGTTTTTGCAAGGAAGAGTGGGCAAATATTGCCAAGTCACGATGTGCCATGCTGATAGACTCACCCAAAAAGACTGAGTGCTGTAATAAAATCAAAAGGTGTTTTCAACCAAGTATTAGTTTAAGGGCGTGCACAGTTATGCAACTGTATCATTTTAGTTTTTTATTTTTTACTTCCCTCCACCTAAAAGATTTCCGTTTGTTGTTCAACTACTGTAAGGTTTACAGTTTATAGGTTACATTAAAGGTGGAAAAAATTCCCGAAATGATTTATCTTTGTCTCATTTTTTACATCACAGAAATCTGACATTTTACCAAGGGTGTGTAGACTTTTATATCCACTGTAGTAGGAGAAAACTTGCAAAACAAACTACTGTAAACAGGGAGCAAGAGCAGTGAGAATGCAGTGAAGACAGTGGTGGGTAAACTGCAATTAAATGTAGTGTGAATTGTTGGAGGATGACTGCCAGAAAATGTAGGCTGCCAAAGAGCATAGAATGTAGTGCACAAAGCAGGAAGAGAGCTGCCAGGGGAAATTTTATGGGGAAAACATCAACAGAAACTACTGATAACATTGAGAAAAGGGGTGCAAAACAGGCATGTGAAAAATATTGTGTTGTAGATTTAGGGGGGAACAATATGTGTTATGGACATAGACTCTCATGATAAAAGAATCTCTTCCAGGGTGTGGGTACTTCTGAATGAACAATGAGTGTGCTAGTCTTTTCAGTGCTGCAGCATAAAACTCTGGAAGGGGCTGGATGTGAGAAACAGCACATGTGTTTCTAGCCACATTCTATCCTGGTGGTAGATAAAGGGAAAAATACAATCCTTGTAGCACAAAAACTCACATGTACAGGACCAGCTGGACAGGACTGACAATCACCATGTTTCATGAACAGCTGGAGAGGACTGAGATCATCATGTGCTATGAACAGCTCTACAGGACTGCAAAGTATGTTCTGTGAACAGCTGGACAGGACTGAGAATCATCATGTTCTGTGAACAGCTGGAGAGGACAAAGAATCATCATGTTCTGTGAATAGCTGGAGAGGACTGAGGATCATCATATTCTGTGAACAGCTAGAAAGGACTGAGAATCATCATATTTTGTGAACAGCTGGAGAGGACTGAGGATCATCATGTTCTGTGAACAGCTGGAGAGGACAGAGAATCATCATGTTCTGTGAACAGCTGGAGAGGACTGAGGATCATCATATTCTGTGAACAGCTAGAAAGGACTGAGAATCATCATATTCTGTGAACAGCTGGAGAGGACTGAGAATCATCATGTTCTGTGAACAGCTGGAGAGGACAGAGAATCAACATGTTCTGTGAACAGCTGGAGAGGACTGAGGATCATCATATTCTGTGAACAGCTGGACAGGACTGAGAATCATCATGTTCTGTGAACAGCTGGAGAGGACAGAGGATCATCATATTCTGTGAACAGCTAGAAAGGACTGAGAATCATCATATTCTGTGAACAGCTGGAGAGGACTGAGAGCCACCATGTTCCGTGAACAGCTAAACAGGACTGCAAATCATCATGTTCTGTGAACATGTCAGGGTTCTGTCCACAGCAGAAGTTCTAGGAGATCTGGCATTCCTGCCAGTACCCTGCATGGCCGCAGAAGTGCAAAGATCCATGTGCATTGGCGCACGGACTTGAGGCGGAACACGTATGCGCACTGGCGCATAGTTACGCACGCATTTGCTCAGTTTGGTGCCAGACAGCCTTTATAAGGAGGCTTATCACTCCCTCAAGTTGCTGGTTGATCTCTGGCTCCCCAGTACCATTGTCT